TTGTCTCAGGATGCCAGCACGGGCTATCTGTGCTTAGAGTATATTAGCTTCTAAGCCAAGACAGCCAACAGCTAAATGGGGGAATGGGTGTTGGAAACCCCTGATGGTGGATGAGAAGTCACAGCCCAGAATGGGGACCCCAGCTGGGGAGGGGCCTTGGGTGGGCTGGGGGAAGGGATGGTGTGAAAGGGCAGGCCATGGGAGGACCCTGAAAACAAGCTCTATCTGCTTTTTCCTTTAGATTTGGTGGCCCTCCCTACCTTTTGTCTCTGTTCCTTTCCCTCCAGGTCTCTGATCCTGCTGCTTCTTTGTCTGCCTCTGTAGCGCAGCCTAAGAAACCTGCAGCCCTCCTGGGTGGTGAAGGTTGGATCCATCTGGAAGGGACAGAGTTCACCCCTGAAATCGTGGATTCTAAAGGCTAAGAAAGTGTGTGGTGTCCCAGATGAGAAAGGAAACTGTAGTAATGGGGGATAGACAGCTGGTGCTTCTCCTGCCTCAGCTAGGAGAGCTTTCAGGAGGAGGTGAATAGTAAGCAGGCAGGTGGTTGGCAGAGAAGGGGAGTTCTGGAGACTTAGGGCCGAGCGACTGGTATGAAGCAGAGAAGTCAGGGTGGGCAGATGCAGGTGAAGGGGCAGGCCCTGAGGCCCTGGAGTAGGATTTGGTAACGATCCCTTGCATTTTCTGGAGCTCATGTACTTCTGAGGAGTTGTCATCCTTCCTCTTGCTGTATGTCACACTCACCCTGTGGGGAAAAGACACGATAATGACACCCTCCTCTCAACTGTGGAGGTAGAAAGTGACATCAGAGAAATTACATTATTTTTCTGAAATTGTGGCAATGCCAGGATGCAGTGCCGAGGGTCCCCCTGGCTCAGCGTGGGGGCTCGCTGTGTGGCAGAATGCTGATGGCGAGGCCTCGGAGGGCTGTGGAGTGGGATGGAGAGCAATGTGGTTGTCGACCTAGCACTTGTTAGTTGTCTGTAGACAGTCCCCTCCCTGCAACACCCGTGTAGTCCCAAATCACAGGCTGACATTTATTGAATTTCTTATTCCTGGCCTGAAAAAGACTGTCAGCTGTGGCCTTGAACCACTCAGACGGCAGGTCCTCCAGACAGCAGGCTAAGACCAGAACACTGCCCTCCTCAAAAAGTGCAGCCCCCTCCTCTCCCTGGCTTATCACATGCCCCTGTGGTTCCCCTGTGCTTCAGCATCTTTTTTTTTTTTTTTTTTTACTTTTTGGTTGTTTTTATTATGCACTACATTAATACACTGCATAACCTTCTAGAAGGGGTAGATGAGTATGACTGAGTTATTTTTCATCAATCGGGAAAATGCTTCCTTAATCGATATTCTCCAAACCCTTTGACACATAGTAACGATTAACTCCAGAGACTCGCCTATCTCTTTGCATCAAACTCCATTGATATGGATAATAGACAACCCTTTTTTCCTTGCCCCCGTTACTGAACCTGTGGATGTACGCCATGGCTATGCCGGGGATGACCAGGCACACGGCCATGACGCCGATCCCAGGCAGGATCTCAAACCACATCGCAGCGCGGTTGCCAGAGCCAAGCCCCTGCCTGCGCCGCCCGGTAAAGGTGACCCGGCCTCGGCCCCGCTTCCCAGTCTGTGCTTCAGCATCTTAGCCAATGGGGCAAATAAGAATATTCAGAAAGACTTTAGCTTCAAAGAGGGGAGTGGGAAGGAGGGCGGAATGATGTTGGAGGATACATGTAGCGCCTTTCAGTTCATGGTAGAGGCTTTTTGCTCTGGCAATGGGGAGCCACTGTAGGGTTTTCAGTGGGAGAGTGGGGCCATGTGATTTGGAAAGGTCCCCCTGAAGGTGGAGGAGGAGAATGGATCAGGGGCAGCGGTGGGGGTGGGCAGCTGCAGCCAAGCTGGGGCCGCCCTCTGTCCCATGCTTAGCAGGAGGCCTCTGGTCATTTTCATCTAGTTACACTTTGACTAGGTGAGGAGGGCCTTCCTTTCCCCCACCCTAATGCTCTAGGAGGCTTGTGAGGGTGTGGATGGCTGAAGGATGGACTAGTCCCATTTGGGGGAGTCGGAGTGGTCAGATCTGGGTGAATCTTGGAGTGGACGGGTTCCTTTGACTGGACAATCAATGGACTGCCACCCATGGGTTACCTTTATTCATTGACCCCAGACAATAAATGCCCCACTCTCTGCGGTTCCCTGCTGGCCTGTGGAGTCCATGGGATAGAGCTCGGAGGCCTTCCCCTGCCGACTTTATATGTGTCTGTGTGTCCCCCGAGCTCTCCCTGCACTACCTCAGCTTGGGGAACTTCAGTCTTGTGTGCGGAGGAAGCACATTAGCTTTGCCTGTAGTATCTGAATATTTCTCTCTTAGACCTTGAGCAGTAGCTTTTTGAAACAGGAATGTGTTACTTTTGATTTTCTGGGTTCCTCATAACCAAAATAGCAGGTGGCCCACAGCTAGACAAAGAAGCATGTCCTAGCCTGAGGGAGGAACATGGGTCAGGCGCCGGGCTGGGAGAGAGTGTGGTGCATTCCAGACACTGCCAACAAAGCAGCATGGCTGGGACTCAGAGACGCAGTGGGACCTGGGGAGAGGTGAGGTGGAGACGTCAGCAGGCCAGGTTATGCAGGGTCTCACAGCTTGAGAGTGGTGGGAAGCGCCAGAAGTCTCCACGTATGTGGGTGTCATAGCCAGGTCGACATTTTGAAAGGACCCCCCCCACCCGTTTTGGGGAACAGTGAAGGAGAGCAATGGTAGAAGCAGCGGGGGGGGGTGTTGGGAGGCTGTTGGGAGTAAGCCAGCTGAATGAGCATGGTAGTTTGGACTAGGGTGCTAGTCAGGGAGGTGGTGAAAAACAGATGGATTGGGGGATAGTTCCTAGGATTGGTGACACAGTGGCTGTGGGGCATGGGGGCAGAAAGCTGTCAAGGCTGCCTGTGGATTTCTGGTCTGGGGGCTGAGTGTAGCGGTGGCCTTCATAGGGTCAGGGAATACTGGAGGAGAGTCCTCTTGCGGAGCAGGTCATAAGTTTGGTTTTGGACATGTAGGTTTTGAAGGGGACTCTGAAGCATCCACGTGGAGATGCCAGGTAGGCAGGAGGATGTTTGGATCCAGGGGCTAGAAGAAAATAAGGGTTCAAGATAAAATGCTGAGGTCTGTAGAGCGCATAGGTGATAATTAAGGCTGTAGGAGTGGATGAGAGTATCCAGGCATAGGGTGAGAGTGTGGAGAAGAGGCCCCAGGTCCAAGCCTTGTGAAAATCCATCCAGTTGATCCAGAGGTGGGTAAGCCATGTGCCCCATCGCACCCGGAGCCCAGGGAGGCAGCTGAGTCCTGCACACCCAGGGATCTGTTGTGTAAGACAGCCTCGGTCAAGAGCCAAGTGAATGGTCAATGAAGGAAAGATAATTTTCAAATGGATAACATGTTCCATAGGCTGTATGTGATGGCCTGTCCTTCCAGTCAGACTCAGTTCACCTTTTTTCAGCTTCTTGGAGGAGTCCTATGGAGTGGGTTCACCTGCCTTGTTTGTCCTGATGCCCAGGCTTCACTCACCGCCCCCCCACCCCCATTTCATGGTGGAGGCCAGCTGTCTTGGGTCTCTCCACCTCTGTGTCATCACTGCCTGGTGTGTCTTTCTGGAGCTGGAACAACTCAGCCATATGCTGTGTTCTCATTATCGGATGTAGCAGGGAGAAGGTGGGCATGAAAGCAGGGCCTAAGGCAGCCGTGGTCCATGTGTCAGCGACAAGCAGAGGGAGCTGCTGGGATGGCTGGTGGGGCCCTGGAGGCCAGCCTCAAACCCCAGGTTGTACCTTCAGGGGCTTGTGGCTCTTGGAGAGTGGTTTGACAAAAGCTCGGGGCTGACTCTGAATCTGAGCTACCTTGAGTCACAGCTGTGAACGGGAGTATAGCTGTCCAGGATGCTTGAGAGAGCGTCACCTTTGTCATCTGCTCAGGTATACATCGGGGGGGGGGGGGGTCTCGGGCTCTTTTGACATACATCTGGAGGTTTCCAAGCCTTCCCTGGGCCATAGAGCCCTGTTCTCAGTTCTGCCCTGGGCCAGGTGGTGGGCAAGCACGCGGAAAGGCACAAGGGGAGAGGGATAAAGCAAGACGAGGGACCGAGGAAGGAAGCCCCTCCCTTGCCATCCTGAGCTGCGGCCCCTCTGTCCTGCCACCAGCAAGCACACCCACTGTTGCCCTTCTGTGTTCCCTCCCCTGCCTTTCAGAACCCGTCCACCCTTCAAGACCAGCGTCAGGCTCAGTTCCTCTGGAAGCCTTCCAGCCTTGCTGGTCTCCTGCAGTAGGGACCAGAGCCCAAGGTTGTAGAAGTGACTTATGAGAGCCCTGCTCTGCCGGCCCTCGTTGTGCTTCCTGCCTGCCGGCTCTGTCTTCATGGAGAGACGATCAGGTTCTCCAGTACAGGCACGAATGTTCTAGGGCTCCCGAGCTGTCCAGCAGAGAGCCGGGCGCCTAAGGGGCTGTGCTGCAACCTGGTGACTGACCGGTCAGAAGCTCTGTTTCAAGCTGCTTTTTGTTCATTCCTTCTTGTAGCAGGTGCTAGGGGCTGAGCTGGATGTCCCTGGTGTGACTTCTTCTAACATGCAGCTTTTCAAAGTGAAAAGGATAATAATTAGAATCACCACCTTTCATTGCACACGTGGGGGCTGATGATGGCCCTGGGTGTCTTGCATATGTATCTCTCCTTTGGTTTCTCGCCACAACCCTGCCAGTTTGGGATTCTCATATTACAGGTGGAAGGAACAGGCTCCGAGAGGTCTCAGGGCAAGTGGCAGAGCTAAGAGTTAAGCCCAGGCACCCCGCGCTGTGCTGCTTGGCTGGAGAGTATTTCTCAGAGGTGGGGACAGATTGGGTCTGGTCAGCCTCGAGATCCTGGCAGCTCGTGGGCCCTGTCTGGGGTGTTTTGGTGCAAAGTGGTGTATTTAATGCTTCGGTCCCCTCCAGTGCTGACATTCTGCAATTCTGTCACCAGCCTATGTGCTTTCCCTCCAGGGGTGAAGCTGGAAATTCTCTGAAATAGAACTGGCTCCCACTGTAGGTTGTTAGGGGGCCTTCTCTGGGAGGGCTGAGAAGGGGCTGTGGAGCTCCGAGGCCCTGGTGGAGGCAGCAGGTGCGTGGGAACCCCTCAAGGGCACTGGAGACAAGGCTTTTGTCAGAGCAGGCTTTGGCCCTCAGGGGACCCACAGTTGGTCTGTCTGTCCTTGCTCTCTCCTCAAGGGGCGTGTGGGCTGGTCAGGGTGTCGGCTGGCCTGGCTGCCCTCGGAGAGACCCTAAAACTCAAGCCTTTGGCATGAATTCAGGGTGTCTCTTCAGGGAGTGCTCCACCCACCCTGGCTCACTTGAGCCACTGTCTCATCTTGTCTGGGAATTATAAGATTATGACAGCCATCATCTGAAGGAACTTCTGCTGGTGGCTCCAGGCCCCGTGTGTGTATGTGCGTGCGTGTGTGCGTGTGTGCGTGTGTGCGTGTGTGCGTCTGTGTGTGCATGTGCGTGTCTCTGTGTGTGTATGTGCGTGCGTGTGTGTGTGCGTGTGTGCGTCTCTGTGTGTGTATGTGCGTGCGTGTGTGTGCGCGCGCGTCTGTGTGTGTGTATGTGCGTGTGTGCGTGCGTGCGTGTGTGCGTGCGTGCGTGCGTGTGTGTGTGTGTGTGTGTGTGTGAGTGAGTGAGACTCTCTTCCTCATCCCATTGCTTCCTTCTACCCTCTCCCCTGCCCTGTGGCCAACCAAGGCTGTGAGGAGGTGTGGCCTTTTTCTTAGGGATTTCCCAGTTTCCCTCCCTCAGTGCCTCAGTTTCTCTGTGTCCTGGGTTTCCTGTCACTTGAAGCTGCTTTGCCTCCTTTGTCTTTCCCTCTCACAGATATCCCCTTGCTCCCTGGCTCCCCACGCCGGCTGAGCCCCCGGGCAGTGGCCAGAGGGGGCCAGGGCCCCAAACATGGACAGCAGTACCTCAAGGTGCCGGGTCCTCAAGCCCCCAGCCAGCAGGGCAGTGCTGACAGAGAATCTGGCCCACCATCCGGTGGAGGGAGCTCCCGCAGCGGCTCGGTGAGTGCTGGGGTGGGGTAAAGGCTGGCCCTGCTGGGGGCCCCGAGGGAGCCTCTTGACTGGGGCACCCTCCAGCTGGGGGGCAGGTGTGTGTATTTATGTGTGTGTGTGTACGTGAAAGAGAGAGGGAGAGAGAAATAGGCCCAGGGTTTTTGTGAGGGCCTTTGCCTCTCCTCTGTCTCCAAGCCCCAGCCATGCTGGAGTCGCGTGGGCAGAGGACAGACAGAGAAGGGGAGGTGTGAGAGGCCGCGTGGTCCCACCTGTTGGTCTGCGGACTCCCTGGCTCCCTTCACAGGTCTGAGGACCCAGACCTCTGCTGGGACTGCTCTCCCCTGTGCCTGGCGCTTCATCTGGTTGCCCAGGTGACCTCTCAGGTGGCTGCAGAAGCAGATGGGTATCAAACCAGTAATAAACAGGGAAACGCCCACAGGGAGGGAGGCAGGTCCCTCTCCTGCTCCGCCTTGTTCTTTCCCCTCCTTTTCTCTCAACCTCCCACCTCCGGGCTGGCTGAGAGCAGAAGTCGGTCCCCCTGCTGCTGTCTCTGACAGGGTCCCTCCTGGTGGCTGCAGAGGAGGAGGAGGATGTGGGGCTGAGAGGGGCATAGTGCCGAGTGAACCCCTGTGGGCTGGGGCTGGGGTGGGCCTGGTGAGAAGAAATTGCCCTTTGTTCCAATGGATCCAGAGAACTTGCCAGTGAGTAATCTGTGTGTGTAAGTATGCGTGTGTTTGCAGGCCGGCCAGCGGAGCTGCAAGGAGATGGGTATGTGTGGGTGTGTTCCAGTGCATGTGGAGGGCTGTGTGTGTGTCAGAGTGCCTTGGGGTGCTGTGAGTGTGCCCAGATGTGCATGCAGGGGAGCTGGTGTGGGGGTGCTGTGTGTAGATGCTCTGTGTGTGTGTGCTCTGGTGGCTCTGGTGTGCAGGCACGCGCGGACGTACAGGGCTTTGCTGCTGCGTGTTCAGTCCGTGTGTGCAAGCGTCCGTGTGTGCATGGTTGCCAGAGCGGGTCTGAGGGCACTGGTGGCTGGGCTGTGGACAGGTGGGTGGAGGGCTGTGTATGCTGGGTGTGGCAGCAGAACGTAGACCACTCTGTCCTTTTACTGGGGGAGCTGGGGCCTCTGGGCCTGAGGGGCTTCCTAGTCCACCTCCCCGGGCCCAGAGCACAAGGTCAGCCTCCTCCGTCGCTCGCTCTTCCTCACCGGACCTCGCTTGTCCCTGTCCTGTTCTCTCTCCAGGTCATCAACAATTACCTGGATGCCAATGAGCCAGTGTCCTCGGAGGCCCGTCTGAGCCGCATGCACTTCCACGATAACCAGAGGAAGGTCGACTATGTGCTCGCCTACCATTACCGGAAACGTGGGGTGCATCCTGGCCTGGGCTCCCCTGGCCCGTCGCTGGCGATTGTCTCCAATGGGGAGACAGGCAAGGAACCTCATGCCGGGGGCCATGGTGACATTGAGCTGGGGCCACTCGATGCCCTGGAGGAGGAGAAGAAGGAGCAACGGGAGGAGTTTGAGCACAACCTGATGGAGGCTGGGCTGGAGCTTGAGAAGGACTTGGAGGTGAGGTTAGGCAGGTGGCAAAGGGCCGTGGGATGGGATGGCCCTGCAAGTTTGGGCCCCTGGTGATCGGTGTCATCTGCAGGGAGCATTGGCTTTTTTCTGGCAGGTGGCATTTTTTTTAATCTGGTGGGCAAACAGATTTTCTTGTTCAAAGACTTGAGGAAGAGTCTTGGTATAGCTGGTGCCTCTGCCTAGGGGATCCCAGGTAGTGGTGGTGTAGGGATGTGCCAATCTGTTCTGTGGATGTCAGCCTGGTTAGAGATTGGAGGGAAGTCATTTCTTGCTGGTGCTCAAAGACCCCATCCCGTGGCTTTCTTCAAAGGTTTCCTTGAGATGAAGACCCAGATTGCCTGTTGAACTTTGGATCACATTCCTCTGTAGGGGATATACTTCACTAAGGAATGTGCTTGCCTGGGGCCCTCTGAGGGAGGTGATTCATTGGAAACTGAACATTGGACATGTTTTATCAACTTATGAGCGATATATGTTCTCACCACTGGTCAGTAGCAGCTTAAGGGAATCCATGGAAATCCATTTATCTCCGTATCCATCTGTCCATCCTTCCATCCATTCATTCGTCCATCGATCCATTTCTTCATATCACAGTGATCCTTTAAAGATGACCTGCCCTAACCATCCCTTCCATACTCATCTTCTACCCCTCCTACCCCCCCACACCTGCTCCAGCCCATTGGCCTTATCTTGGTTGTGTGTTGGTCACCCTTACCTCCGGGCCTTTGCACTGGTTGTCCCTGCTGCCTTGGGCACCCTTCCCCAGACCTGTGCATGCTTATTCCCTGACTTCAGACCTCTGGCTAAATGTCATCTCTTTCCAGACATCTTCCTGACCACCCTCACTATAGTACTCCCGCCCCTTCACTCTGTTCCTTGACCATGCTTTACTTTCCTTCATCACACTTAGCATTGCTACCTGAAACAACATGACAGATTTGACTTTTCAGCTCTGCACCAAGCAGCTTCATGAAGGCAGGGGTCTTGTTTGGTTCACTTCTATATCCCCAGCACCTAGGACAGAGTCTGAAGAATAAAGTAGTGTATTAGGCGCTTAGCAAGTGTTAGTTGAATAAATAAGTGATCTCCCTGAATCTCACGTTCCTCATCTGCAAAATAGTTAAATGCCCTGCTGGGCTGTAGTTTTACAGGCCCCTCAATAGTTGGGGCAATGAAAACATCTAGCACAATGTGTAATATGTAGTAGGTGCTCAATAAATGCTCATTAAGATTATTTTAAATAGAGTCATGCTGAGGGGTGTGGTGCCATTCTCATCTGTTTTCTAAGATTCAAGTTAATACTGTCCCCAAACTGGAAGGGACCCTCGGGTCATTCATCCATTTCTCTCACCCCAGGAAGGTTGGCATGTGGCTTGGCTCAGACCCTTGTCCTACTGACCTGTACTGCTTATCCAGACCCTCAACCTTGGAGTTGCTTCTCTCATTCTTTCCACCAATGTAGGGACATTGTGCTCTTTGAAGACTAATTGGGGCTCCCTTGCTCCCTTGATTTTCACTTTTTGAAACCCAGAGCTTACTTGGTGCCTCAAACTGGAGTCTGGTGGGAAGGTTTCTTGAGGTAGTGGTTTGTTTTGAGGACCAGACAAGGAGCTCTTGGCACTACTACTGTGGGAGGCTCAGTCCCCACACCTGTCTCTGGGTGTCAGGGAGCGGAGGCCTGGGCCTTGTGCAGCTCCTCAGTTGGGAAACAGCATCATGCTCAGGAGGGTGGACTCTGGAGCCCAGAGACAGATGTTCACATCCTGGGTCTGGCATCAACTAGCCTCACAATCTTGGGTGAATGACTTGCTCCTTTGGAGTCAAAGTTTCCATGTTTGTGTAAAGAGGATAGCAATACATTCTTCATTGGGTTGTTTGAAGATGAAAACAAGACAAGTGAGTTAAACACTTAGAACAGTAACAGTGCCTGTCACTGCTATTATTATTGTTTAGAGTTGCCAGATTTAGCAAATTCAAGATACCTAGTTACATTTAAATTTCAGATTAACAGCAAATAACTTTTTAGCAGACGTATGTCCCATGAAATATTTGGGACCTACTTAGATCCTTAAAAAAATTGTTTGTTGCTGATCTGAAATTCAAAGGTAACTGTCCTGGCAACTCTCTTTTTTTTTTTTTTTGAGACTTTATTCATTCATTTGACAGAGAGAGTGAGCACAAGCAGGGGGAGTGGCAGGCAGAGGGAGAGGGAGAAGCAGGCTCCCCGCTGAGCAGGGAGCCCGATGCAGGGACTTGATCCCAGGACCCCGGAATCATGACCTGAGCTGAAGGCAGTCGCTTAACCAATTGAGCCACCCAGGCGCCCCTCAGCCCTGTATTTTGAGCCCACTCGCGTTCTGCATGTGCATCTAACCCATTTTTCCTAATGGATGAGTGCTTTGCAGCCACTGCGGTTACCTGGTCACTTCCCTAAGGATGTTGGGCACCCACGTTGCCTCCAAGTGTGTGCCACCCCAACAAGATGGAGTAGGAATTGTCCCCTCCTTCTGGGCCAGCAGTCCTGGATCGTCTCTGGCTTACCCCCTACCCCAGCCTCCTGTTGGTGCTAAACACTGGCTGGCGATTCATCAGCTGGAGCCTCTGAGGGCCCGAGCAGCTCTTCTGGGGGCCTGTTGGGGCCGGCACAACTCTTATCTGTGTCAGGATGCTTGGTCTCTGCCTTGAGCAAAAGCCCGCAGCTGACACCTCACAGGAGTGAGGCCGCCGCTTGGCTGCATGGAGGGCAGGTGTAGTTGTCCCCACCTGCTCTGCTGTCCCTGCCCTGCTGGACTACACCGTCTTTTAGGCTCTGGTTTCAATTTGATTTTCAGATAAACGGAGAGGAAATGGGTTTCTATCAGAGACCCATTAAAAATTATTCATGTAGCCTTACAGATCAAAAGAACTTTGCATCCATCAAATCCTAACTGATTGAATCTCATAGGAATCATTTCCGACCCTGGTTGCTATCTGAGTGTGCTTGACACAGGATGATGATGGGTGCATACCTTCTATTTGGTCTTTCACTTTTTCATTCAGTGGGCATAGTTCCATGTATTACATTGTCCATGTTCATATTTTAAAGGCCATTTAGTATTTATCAGATGACTAAATGACAGTTTGCATATATGTTTTCTTATGTGTAGCCATTCAATTACAATTTCATTTAAAGACATCGCTGGAGATGCCTGTGGGCCTGTGGGTGGTAGAGACACCTGCCTCCTCACTGCCAATTTGGACACATGAGGGCGACCTGTCTGGAGATGGGCATCGCTGCTGAGTGGGAGGCGAATGTGAGCATTCGAGGGACTCACCCACCTCAGGCACCCACTCACCCACCACCAGATGGGGTTGTGGAGTGGGTGGGCTGAGCAAGGCCTTCTGTGGCACACCTCCTCCCAACCTCTCCCAAGCCCCCTGCCCTGACCCAGACAGTCGGAAGGACAGAGGCACAGACTCAGATGAACGAGGGGCACCAGGGGGATCCCAGAGCCAGGCGCAGTGCAGTGCACGTGGTGGGCCCGGGGCATGTGTGGACTTGGAGTGTAAAGGCCTTCTTCCCAACTCGCAGGCCCTGAAATTCCAGCAGGCATGGCCCACAATTTCATCTGTGTGGGCAGTTGGACCTTCCAAACTGGGAATGGAGGAGAGGGCATTGACGGGGGGGCTGGGGGCCCCCTTGCCCTGGGCTAGCTTTCCCGGGATTAGGGCACCAGAGAACCGATAGCAGAAGCTTCCTTTATTCAGCATGATCTGGCATCTCCAGCAGGTCCCTGGGTGGCTTTGGGCAGAGGCAGGCATGGAAGGGGCAGAGTGCCAGCTGGGAGGTGCCAGGGACCCATAGCTTTATTCAGGAGGCAGCGCTCCCCTCTCTGACTTGGTATCAGGTGGGAGCCCAGGACTGACCAAATCCCTTCCCTCTCTGCAGAGAGGAGACCTTCCCACAAGCCACAGGATGGCCCCGACACCTGACTATTTACCCTGTAGCGCTGGACATCTGGAATCTCAACCCAAATTACTATACTGAGCCAGAGAAAGAGGCTAGGGGACATCTGAGGTATATAGGACATCATGATCTCCCACGGGGGCTCATTTAGGGGAAAAAAATGTGGGCCAAATGTCTTCTCATTTTCTTAAAACCAGAGGCCATTGTTTCTTGACCTTTGTCATCACGGCCTGTTCCCACTTCCTTTTCATAAGGGCTTTTATACATCTGATTCAGCAGCTGGTAGGATCATGTGTCCTCCCAGGCCTCTGGATGTAGCTGGGGCGACTTTGGGAAATTGCTCTCTATCATTAATCTGTGGTTTTAGGGGAGGAAACCAACTTTCCTGATTGCCTTTTGTGCACCTGCTAACGTGGACTTGTGATCCATCAGTTAGTCTCGTGAACCCCTGCCAGGTGCCTGTTACCCTCATGTCTCTAAGGAGGTGAGAGAGGCTAGCGTCTCCATCACAGGGATGTCTACAAAGTGATCCAGCTGGGATTTGAACTCCGTCTGAGCTTCTGGGGTCTTTGTCATACCAGGGCTGACAGCCAAGCCCTTGAGAGCACCTTCCTATTCCTCCTTCCCTGGGATTCTTAGGAGAGGCTCCAGGGAACACAGGGGAAGAGGCAAATGTGGATGTAACGACGCCCCCGGTGCATGCCGGGTCTCGGCGGTGGCTGCTGTGTGCTCACGAGCGCGGGAGCTCGCGCACTGCTGACGACTTGGCTCGTGCTAATGGCTGAGGAAAACAGGCTGATCTCCCCCGGCTTTGCCTGTGTTCCTGTCCCGCGTGCCCCACCCTGACGCCATAGGCGGGAGCCTTCGGCTTCTCACCTGCCTCTCTTTCCTGCCCCCGAGGCACCTGCAAGGGACACAACAAAGACAGCCCCGGCAACCCCTGCCCCTGGGACTGCACAGCTGAGCAGGGCAGAGCCTCCACGGGGCTGGCTGGACCTCCCTTCCCTGGGGAGGCCTCTCTGCAGCCTGGGCGGGGGTACAG